AGCCGGAATTACAGGCATGCGCTACCACGCCCGGCTGATTTTTTGATTTATTGTAGAGATGAGGTCTCGCCGCCCAGGCAGGTCTCGAACCCGCGGGCTCAGGCAATCCACTCATCTCAGCCTCCCAAAGACGCGGGATTACAGGCTGAGCCACTGAGCCCGGCTTCAGATTTCTTTATTGGTTGAAAAGAGGTAGAGAACATGTATAAACTCATGCTTCCCTAAAAAGTAATTATTCATTGGAGCCTGCCTACACATCTCAAGTAGCTTTAATACAATTCAAAGAAAAATTAATATTCATGTTGTTTTGCATCTCCAACTACTTTTAAATTTGCAAGCAAAAAAGGACTTATAAAAGAGCAGAACTAGGCCGGGCTCAGTGGCTCAGCCTGTAATCCCAGCGCTTTGGGGGGCCTAAGCGAGTGGATTGCCTGAGCCCGCGGGTTGGAGACCTGCCTGGGCAACTTGACGAGACCTCATATCTACAATAAATAAAAAATTAGCCGGGTGTTGTAGTGCATGCCTGTAGTTCCAGCTACTTGGAAGGTTGAGGCGGAAGGATCACTGGAGCCCAGCAGGTGGAGGCGATCTGTCCAGTCTGAGTGACAGAGTGCGACTCCAACTCAAAAAAAAAAAAAAAGAGCACGGGCATCTCCTTCAGGTCCCCTCCCACTGTGGGAACTTTTCTGCCCTCTCAATAAATCCTTTTTCAAGAAAAAAAAGAGAGCAGTACAAGTTTGTTCCCTTCAGAGTGGCAAACCTAAGTGTTCCCATACCCTCAGTGATTTACCATTGCTGAGATTATTTCTTTAACAAGAAAATGTTTTTAAAAAAATTTTTGAGACAGGCTCAGTGGCTTAGCCTGTAATCCCGTGCCTTTGGGAGGCTGAGGTGAGTGGATTGCCTGAGCCCGCGGGTTCGAGACCCGCCTGGGCAGTGAGACCTCATCTCTACAATAAATCAAAAATCAGCCGGGCATGGTAGCGCATGCCTGTAATTCCGGCTACTTAGAAGGCTGAGGCGGAAGAATCTCTGGAGACCAGCAGGCCGAGGCTGTGGTGGCCGGGAGCGGCCACTGCACTCCAGTCTGGGCGACAGAGTGAGACTCCAACTCAAAAAAAAAAAAAAAGAAAAAAAAACTTTTTGGCCAGGTGTGGTGGCTCACACCTATAACGCCAGCACTTTGAGAGGTTGAATTGAGAGGACTGCCTGAGCCTATGGGTTTGAGACCAGCTTGGGCAACTTGGTGAGACCTCATCTCTACAATAAATCAAAAAAAGTAGCTGGGTATGGTGGCGTGTGCCTGTAGCTCCAGCTACTTGGAAGGTTGAGGGGGAAGGTTCGCCTGAGCCCAGCAGGTTGAGGCTGTGGTGGCCGGGAGCGTGCCATTGCCCACCAGCCTGGGCGACAGAGAGAGACTCCAACACAAAAATAATAATAAAAAATAAAGAATTTTCTCCTAAAACTCATTTGTCAGATTCCATAAATTAACTGCTACAAATCAAATGTTCTATAGGAGAGAAACTCAAACCTAGTAAAGAGGCTTTTCTTCCAATCTATTAAAGAGACACATTAAATACACAATGCTGGCCACACTACTTTAGATAATGATAGAAAATGACAGCTGATAGCCAGTTTGGGACAAATGCCAACTGTTCCCATTTGTCTGAAAATGCTAAAATTATTACAACACTGTTTTCAAAGAAAATTGGTATCACTAAATGAGAAAGTATATTGACTACAATTCTAAAAAACAGACTAAAAGTAAGGGTGCCTCTTTGATTTGCAATATCGGTTTTTATTTTTATTTTTGATTTTTGAATTGGAGTCTCACTCTGTTGCCCAGACTGAAGTGCAGTGGCCGCTCCCAGCCACCGCAGCCTCAACCTGCTGGGCTCCAGTGATCCTTCCGCCTCAGCCTTCCAAGTAGCCGGAATTACAGGTGCACTACCACGCCCGGCTGATTTTTGATTTACTGTAGAGATGAGGTTTTGCCAAGTTGCCCAGGCGGATCGTGAACCCACGGGCTCAGGCAATCCACTCACCTCAGCCTCCCAAAGCGTGGAATTACAGGCTGAGCCACCGAGCCCGGCTGCAATATTGGTTTTTAAACTTTCAATGTTCTGAAGTAGAAGTAAACACATTTCAACAGCTTCAAATATTTTCATATATTTTATTTTTTAAACTCATAACTTTGCAAGCTAGCAGTAAAATATTGCCCTCAATATTTTACTAATTAGCACCGTATACTTTTTAAAGCTAACTGGAACATTGTTTTATTATAAATGATTGTAAAATAAAAAGATCATTTCAAATGCCAAATTAGTCTCAAATAACTTGTGAACTGTTATTAATTTTATCATTATTTTGGCTGTTTGCATGAAGATGTACTTCAAAGATAAACTATATTAATTTCAGTTTTGCCAACTTAAGTCAAAGTATCACAGTTAAAGCAATATTCAATCTCTGAAATCACTGTATAAAGAGGCATATGAAGAAGTTGAGCAATCAGCTATAAAAACAAAAGATACTACATAACTGATTTATAGTCCCTTATATTTTAAAAGAATAGAAAATAATGAAAAAATTCCACGGTGCAAGTATCAGTTACACTTATGATTTAGTACACATCAGTATTCTCTGCTTTGCTTATTAGAGTTTGGCCTTAACAAAAAAACCATCGAAATGTCCAGGATAACTTACAGAGACAGCTGGAAGTCTGTAATAAAACTGCTCAGTCCAAATAATTCCAAATCATTCACATAATTTTAAATGGAAGCCTAGACATTTAACCCCTATTTTTAATGTTCTCATTGAAAAAAATGTTTCAAAAATATGGAAAAAAGTCTAAGTATACTCAAATTACTTCCACACATTAGAAACAAATTTTTTAAAGAATATTTTTACTTCCCGTTTTCTGATAAAAGCATTCTTCAGAGCTATGGGGTTATGTTCTGAGCCCCGATAGACTGCTAACTAGCATGCCTGTTTTACATACCAGTAGAATCAAGTCCAGTTTTGCCATTTGTGGATAACTATGACAAGATACAAAAGCATGTGTTTGCCATAAATAGCTCTGGCTAACAGCAAACCGCTCACACTGAGCAGATCAAATTCTCTATAAGGAGAGCAGTCTGGACCACAGCCAAATCCCACTACTAATATTTAAGACTGCTACATCAATTCCTTATTCCAATTCAATTTGCAAAATTAAGAAACAGTAGTTGAAACGAACATTCCTTAACATCAGAAGTATCATTTTGAAGAAGTCTATAAATTATTTTAATTATGACCAAATAAGCAATAAGAGCTTCCTGCTTCTACTCCACAACTACTTAGAAATGTAAATGTGAATAAAAAAAAAAAACTATGCTAATTTATCCAGGGAACAAATCAGATATTGAAGAATATTTATGTCAAAGTGCAAAAAATAATTAACACATAATGAAATAAATAAACTAAGGCTTATAAAATACTATCCTTTAACAATGGCATTTTATACTATTTGGCTTTAGAATATTTTTAAAACCAAATAAATCAAACAAAATATCACACATTAATGTTGTACAAAAAAAAAATCTCAAATGACCAGTGCAGAGATTAATAATAACTGCTCACCCTAGTTGTTTCACATAATATTTTGCAAAATTTCCAAGGAAAACAAGGCAACATTCTGTAACATGCCACAATTTTTATTGCAACGTGGCCATTTTTGGGAGGGTGGGGAGTTTGATCTCAAAACAATGTTCCATTTAAGGCTCTTTTATACAGAAATTGCCATCATGACTGATATTCAAAATATCTTTAGTGTTACAAGACTCACATGGTAAACATAAAACTCCTACACTTATTCAGTAGTGTACACTCAATAGAAAACAAAAAGGCATTAATAACAGCTATTTTTTTTTAACAAGATATGCAGGAAACAGGAATGAACACTGAGGTACTAGTGTAAGTTGACACACAGTTAACGAAACTTAATTGGCATTCCTTTTGGGGGATTAAACTTGGTACAAAAAAGTGCTTTTTATGCATAGTGTTATATCGTGCTGCCATGTCACAAAAATAGGCTTGCCAAGGCAGGTGAGGTGTATGAATGCTTGAGCTTCACTGAACTGCAATCAAGTGCAACTATAAGTAATACTGAAAAAGTTCACCATCTGACCAGTGGATAATACTTTCAAGGCATTCAATTAGCTTACCCTTGGTAGTGTTCTAAGCTATTCACATTGACAATCACATTCACGGTAGTGCTTGCTGCAAGGCAGGCATATAACCAGCTGTTTTGGCTAAAATATGACAGGAAGGCATTCCTTGGGTTCTACATAAAAGTAACAGTATTAACAGTCTAATGGCAATCACTGATAGGCTGCTTAAATGAATGATATTTCCTTCATTCATTGTGTTGGAACGGCCCAGTGGAAGAGGGGGAACCAATAAAACAAAACTTAATACTATTCCAATGGACTGAGCTGGAGAAATGGAAGCTCCTTAAGATCCAGATGGTACTTGAATGTCAATTTATAATGGTTTTCCTTCAAGTGAAACTACTACATTGCCTCCCAATTTCTCTCCAAGTGTCGAACGGTCCTTAATATCATCCAAGCCATTTACTTGCCACTCATGTTTAATACCTAAAAAGAAAAAGAAAACACATGATCCCACTGCCTTATTATAATTGAGAAAATGTAATTTCTCTGTACAAAATATTCAATGTCTGTACCTGTAAATTTCTTTTTAATGGCATCTTTAGAGCTAGCGTAAATCATCTTGCTTTTTAAAGGTGCACTTTCAGGAGCCCTACAGAAAAAAAAAATTACTGAATTCCATTTATAAGAAAGAGAAAGGTAAGACTGGCTATGATAATAACAATCCTTGCATTTTTAAAAGTACTTTTTTCTTTTGTTTTTACACACCAGAATATAAATACTAGGTCTTCTTTCTTAGACTCTTTTGTTTCGTATGTGGCATCGTACAAAGCATATCGGCAATCATTCAGAGGTAGCAACTTCACAAAAGATGTGTAGGGGTCCTCTACAGTATCACCAATGTCACCCACCAAGATCTGCTTTGCTTCCTCTACAATTATTTGTCTTTTGTCATCGCTTAAACAGAAGAGAACTGCTTTCTTTCTTTTTTTGATCTCCTCTTGGGTAGAAGATTTCCTTACTTTCATATCATTAAAAACTTTGATGACTTCATCATTCACCGTAACTCCAGAAGCCTGAAAACAAAGAACAGGATTTCAGAAGATGCATCTTGGTTTTAACCAAAATTACCCTTTGCCTAGAGAGGACTCACTTTAGTATGCACGTGAAAAATTGCATGCTACCCTGCAAGTAGTCTAATCAGATTTTAAGAATTAGCATGTGACACACCGAAAGATTCTAACTTATCCTGCCCATTCAACCTTCTTAAAAAGGTCTGGACGTAGAAGCGAAAGGAAGGTAGAGCGAAAGGGACAAATACAAGTTGTCCCATCCCTGAAATGTTTCCTATTTCACTGGGTGATGTCAGAGCTTCAGGAGCAGCAGCAAAAATACCTTCTGTATTGTGTCAACTCGGCTGGCCTTAAAAAAAAAAAACCCTTTTGGATTTCAGTTAATGCTTCTACTCTTTTTTTTCTTTCAAGTCATCCAAGCCACTGGCGTTTCCTCATAAGGAAAGAGAATCGAGTGTAAACGCCAAGCCGCCCAGGAGCGCAGGCAGGCGCTTCCAAACTAACGGGTCGAGCGTCAGAGCTTTTTACCGCCAGCAAGTGCTTTCAAAAGAGTTCTCCCACCTCCGCCACCTCCCCGCCAGGGTCTGACGACGGCCGT